CCTGAACGCCTTGATCCTTTTGCAGATGGTAAATTATTTTCATTTTTCACTCAATTTTATCAGTTTTGTTTCCTTAAATTATCTTTAGCCCTTTGATTTCTGTTGGCATGCTTGAAAATTCAGGAGTTTTAGTTTATACACCTTGAAAGTTGTTTAAAATCATAGTTTGCCATTTTGTTCATCCTTTATAATACAGATTTTCTTTCCAGGTAGAAGGACAAGAAAATAATGAACCATTGCCATAGAAACACAAAGGGTTAAAGGTTTCTCTTTTCTTATTGCTTTGGTTATATATGCTGTACTTTGAGTGATTTTAATATTTAGTGCTCAAGAATCTTCCAACTTACTGGATGCTTTCAATCCAAAAGTAGAACATAAAGAATGACTGCTTTTAAAATTGTACCTAACAAACAGGAGCAGTTGATTCTCACATTTTGAATTTTCAAGAAGTTTTTGAGAGAAACAAAAGTAACATTTACAAACATTTGTTTCTTTTAGTAGTTCAGATCTATTCTGATAAATTTTATAAACCTAGCTTAGTGCAATGGGTATCTGTGGACCTGATGGAAGCTTTCCTTGGGTGCGTTAGTTTGACAAGGAACCTTAGAGCACCTGTTGATTAAAACTATAACTGGTTGCAGGTTTTTGTAAATTGGCATTTCAGCCTGCATGAATTAATAGGGATATGGATTTTACTTGCTTAACTGTCATTGATATAAACATGTATTGTCAGAATTCACAGGCCCATACTAACTGTCCTTAATTTCTTTCCTACAGCAGTACTGCTATATGCCAGTCCTGTCTGCATTCTTAAGGGTGCAGTTCAACACATCCTGTGTAGATAATGGTGAAAAAGTATCCCAAAGGAAAGTCCTATCAAAGCTGGTGTCAGAATGACACTGCCAATTGGGCATTGATGTTCAGCATAGCAAATGTATTAAGAATTTTATTTTGTCCTAAATACTTATGCTATACTACTGGTATAGCCAATCTGCACTTTAAAAATAGTGCATCCTAGATAGGATTGTTACTATATGGCTGGGCTTCTGTAAATATTTGAAGTTAGAATAAATTTCAAGGTTCAAATTAATATTTATGATGTGGGGAAAGACTTTTTGCCTGTGAGTATCCTTATGGTAAAAACAGTGTACTGCAATCAGTTCACAGTTATAATTATACCTTCAGAATAAGTGGGGGGAGAAATTGGGTGCTCTTAAAGTGAAGCCCTTTTAACATGCCTCCACAAAGTTAAGAATCTGGGGTTCATTGTCCAGATTCATCAAACATATACACTGATTTCTATGATAAAACAATTTTGAGTTATTTAGGTTTACAGTAGTACGTATAGTCAGATATCATAGGCTTTATCAGCTTGAACAAGGTAATGTGTTGATTATAAATATCTTTCCAAAGTGTTACTAATGGTAAAGAGATAATTTTCTAGGCTTCTATTCTGCTGCTTGAAGTCAGAACTGCTGATGGAGACAAAAGGCACGAAAGTGTACGTATTCCGGATTAGCAACCCAGGAACCCATCACTTCTGAAGACTCTTAACTGTTTTGTCATTTTATCATTCTTATCTCCTTTAAAATATTTGTTTTAAGCTGTTGTAGTTATGTTTGTGTTCAAACAGGTTAAATTGATCAGCAAAGTGAATAAAAGTAAGAATCATATAATTTCTTTAAATCAGTCAAAATATTAAAATTAATTGATTTTGAAATAAAGTAAAGTTAGAATAGAGCAGTTTTAAAAGCCAACTTTTCTGCCTTTCTTGCACTTATTATGCTTTTGCCCTGTTGCTGTTCTCTTCTGCAGGTGGGAAGACACCTGACCCTAAAATGAATGCCAGAACATATATGGATGTTATGCGTGAACAACATTTAACAAAAGAAGAGGTTAGTTGGTTAAGATTGTTACTCTTAACTTTCAGTTTTTATTTCTCTTAGGCAAGGCTTTTCTTAGTTCATGGCATGTTGAGGAGTTCCTGAAGAACCACTAGTAATTGATGTCTTCTTTTGCTGTATTTCTTCTTTGTTTAATGACCACTACTCAGTTCTTGCAATGCTTTGGAGACAGAATACTTGAGAATATTGTAGGAAAATGATACGCAACATACAGAGAGGTTTCCCTAACATTAAGACTTATCAAGATCTAAAACATGAAATATGGATAATATACAATTATATGAACATTTAAAAGCCTGGCGATATCCCTGTCTCAATAAATGGATTAAAAATTCTGGCTTGGTATTATACATGAAGTAGGCTGATTTATCTGCTGAATAGATAATGCTTTGCCAAGGCCCACTTTAAATCATACTACTGTTCATATTCTCTTAGTATATGTAAGAAATTGTAGTTTGATATATTATAAATTCATAGGTGCACACACATGGACATACATAGTTAATTAACAAGTGCATAAAACATGTTTAAATCACATATGTAAGTATAATTTGAGCATAAATTATTCAGATAAATACTTGTTCAAATAAAAACAACAGTAATTTGCACTAGCCAGGAAATACTGTGGTAATTTTGAAAATTTAGACCAATATATTCTGTATTTTGCTTCATATATGCCACTCTCTTTATATACGTGGTTTAGGTTTATTTATTTGGCAATACAGGTAGTTGTCACTTAATAATGGTAATGGGACTGGAATTTCTGTTGCTAAGCAATGTACTTGTTTGACATGCTGCTTAATGGCAGCAGATCTTATCCTTCCTGTTGCCATTTATTAAGCAAATCGCCATTTGTGACAGTTTCCCCCTTGACTTTCTTTTTGGAAGCCAATGGTGAACGTCTCAAATGATGCTCACGTGACCATGGGGAGACTGACCAACATAAGTATGAGGACTGGTTGTAAATGCCACTTACTTAGCACTGTTATGAGTTTGAACAGCTGCTGAATGCTGGTTAAAGGAGGATCATCTGTAATTGATTAATGCCAATAATTAGAAATGCTAACCTGTAGAAACATTTACATCCCAAATTAAAATGTGGATCCATTTAGAAAATATGAATGTACCAATGACTTTGTGGAGTTATTTTTTAGTTCACAGTTTTTGAGACATAATCTTTTCTCTTTAACAGAGAGAAATTAGACAGCAACTAGCAGA